ACAAAAAACTATAAATAATACAAAATAAAATCTGTAAATTAAAACTTTGGCAGTAAAACTCCCACCAAATCACAAACCTATGGTGATTTCAAATAACATACAACATTAAATAGGAATATATTTACATTTTAACATTTACTCTGCTTCCAGTAACAACACAGTTTTATGAACTGGTCTATCAAGATACACTGGCTTGACAGTCCTTTTTCCATCCTTATCCAAGGTCGAGTCACTTAGTAACAGCTTCACCTTCCTGATCCTTCCATCTGCGCTTGTATATACTTCTGTTACTCTTGCCAGTTTCCACTTGTTCCTTGGAGAATTGTCCTCTTGAAGAATAACAATGTCGTTTACCTTTGCATTTCTCTTGTTTCTTTGCCAGATTTGTCTCTGTTGAAGATTAAGAAGGTATTCTTTCTTCCACCTTGTCCAGAATTTATTAGCTAAAAACTGAACTTGGCGCCACCTCTTTCTCAGGTACAAGTCCTGGCTTACAAATTCACCAGGAGGAGGCAGAATAACACTGGACTTCATCATGAGAATATGATTTGGTGTGAGAGGCTCTGAACTTGGATCACTTAGGTTTTCTACTGTTAGCGGCCTGCTATTCACAATAGCCATCACCTCATACAGAAACGTTCTGAGGGAAGAACTATCGAGTCTCTTATAAGTTTTATCCAGAATAGCAGTTAAAACGCTTCTGACAGTCCTAATCTGCCTCTCCCAAACACCTCCCATGTGACTTGAGGATGGGGTGTTCAGAACAAACTCACATCCATATTGTTTCAACTGTTCTTTGTCACAGTCCTTCAGTGCATTCAAAAACTCTCCCTTAGCACCGACAAAATTTGTTCCTTGGTCACATCTGATTTGTCTTATATGTCCACGAATAGAAATAAAACAACGCAATGCATTAATAAAAGCATCAGTAGTAAGGTCATCTAACATTTCAATATGTATTGCCCTGGAACACATACATGTAAACAAAAGACCATATCTTTTTAGTTCTTTTCTGCCTTCTTTTACATAAAAAGGTCCAAAACAGTCAACACCACAGTAAGAGAATGGGGGGGTTGTTTCCATTCTGTCCTCTGGTAGATCTGACATCTGTTGATCTTGTGTATGCCTCCTGTACTTTCTGCAGGTTGTGCACTTGTAGATGTGTGAAGCAACTGCACTGCTGCATCCTGTGATCCACAGTCCATTGGAACGCAGCTCGTTGACAGTAATTCCTCTTCCTTGATGCTGCATCTTTTCATGGAAGTGTTTAATCAGTAAAGATGACACATTACTTGATTTGGGAATAATGGCAGGATGTTTGATGTATGGGTGCAGACTTGCTCTTGTTAAACGTCCTCCCACCCTGAGTACTCCTTGCTCATCAACAAATGGGTTTAAGCTATGCAGCCTGTGTGTCTTATCCTTGAGTTGGATGTCTTTTCCTTGGGTTAAGTCCTTGATTTCCTTACTGAAGGTGTTTTCTTGTGCAAGTTTTATTATGAATAGTTCTGCTTCTCGTCTGTCCTCAACACATGTGTTTCCACCTTTTGCTTGTGTGTCTCCTTTAAAATCTCTCACAAATTTCCTTAGACGAGCAATAGCTTTAACAGCTCTTCTCCAGTCAGAAAATTTATTGAGACGATCAAGTATTGTTCTCCTTTCTTGTACTTCTGTTTTGAGCACATGTACTGTTTTTAGCTCTCGATCATTAGGAAAAACTTCAACAACCTTGTCAGTTTCGATGGGTAACTCACTTTGCCACAAAAACTCTGGTCCTTTAAACCAGTTAGATTTGAGTAGCTGTTGGACACTTAGTCCTCTTGATGCATGGTCTGCAGGATTATTTTCAGATGGTACATGATGCCACTGATGTGGATCTGTGAGTGACCTTATCCTTTGAATCCTATTTGCCACAAACACATGAAATCTTTTGGCATCATTGTTCACATATCCTAACACCACTTTGGAATCTGTCCAGAAATATTCTTGAAGATTGCTGATTTCCAGTTCACTTTTTAGCATTACACTTGTTCTTGCTGCAACTACTGCAGCTGTCAATTCAAGTCTAGGGACAGTAGTGACTTTGGTTGGGGCAACACGTGCCTTTCCCATGACTAGTGCACAATGAACATCCCCTTTGGATGTGACTGTTCTTAAATAGCTACATTGTCCATAGCCTGTCAAACTGGCATCTGAAAAACTGTGTAAATCACACTGTGTGATATCTGTGTTTTCAGGTAGCATACATCTTTGGATTCTCACCTTTGACAAGTTTTGAAGATCTAGGAGCCAGGATTCCCACTCTCTGTAGAGCTGATCTGAAAGAGGCTCGTCCCATCCGACTTTCTCTTGACATAACTGTTGTAGGATTTGTTTTCCTTTTAGAATGAAGGGTGCCACAAATCCCAGTGGATCATACACTGATGCTACTGTGCACAGGATTCCTCTTCTTGTCATTGGGTGCTCTTTGACTTTTATTCTAAATTGAAACTCATCAGAAGAGATGCACCACTGAACACCAAGTGCTCTTTCCATCAGTGGCTCTCCAAGTGCTAGATCCAAATCTTTAATACTATCAGCACACTCCTCTCTGGGCAGTGATTTTAACACATTTTCACTGTTTGATACAAACTTGTGTAATCTTAGTTTAGCTGTGTTACACAGCTCTCTTGCTTCTTTGACTAGTTTTATTGCTTCTGCTTCTGATGTAACACTTACAAGTCCATCATCTACATAAAAGTTTCTTTGAATGAACTTTACTGTGTCTGGAGAGAACTTTCCCTCACCTTGTGTGGCTAGATGTTTTAAACCAAAATTGGCACAACCAGGTGAAGAAGCTGCACCAAACAGGTGAACCTTCATGCGAAAGACCGGGGGGGAACACTTAAATCACCATGCTCCCACCATAAGAAGCGTAAATAATCCTGGTCTTGAGGTGTTACATGGAACTGATGAAACATACGCTCCACATCGCACATTACAGCCACTGAGCCTTTCCTGAACCTACAGAGTACTCCCACCAAAGTGTTTGTGAGGTCAGGCCCTGTAAGCAGGTGTTCATTCAGCGAAGTGTCCTGATATTGTGCAGAGCAGTCAAAAACAACACGGATCTTGCCAGGCTTTTGAGGGTGGTATACCCCATGATGGGGAATATACCAGGCAGGGGAATTACATATTTCCTTCTCCGGTATTTTCTCTGCATCACCACGTGCAATAATGTCCTCCATGAACCTTGCATAATCTGAGTAGTACCTTTGATCCCTTATGAATCTGCGTTTGAGACTGCTTAAACGTTGCATTGCACTTGACATGTTGTTGGGAAGATTTGGTCTGTCACTTTTGAAAGGCAGAGGCATTTCATAATGTCCATCTTGCTTTTGTTTGATTCCTTCTTGCAGCTTTCTTAGGAAGCAGACATCTTCTTGTGAAATGCTTGTTTCTTCCACTGCTCTCTCTGTAAAATCTAATTCAAGTGCTTTGATTACATCTGGACCTGTTACTTCTTTCATCTGTGTCTTGCAGATGTAATGAACTTTATTCTTTAGCTTTGTGGTTGGCTCAGTCTCTGGTATTACTTGCTTTACAGTGATGCGATGACTTACTCCAATTACATCGCTGCCTGCATCACACGAATCACAGTAACTTATGATGCTCCAACCCAAATCTGTTTTCTGGGCATAAGGCTGGTTTTCTTCACCACATATGACTTCTCTGGGCATTAAAGCTTGTGTGCAATTATAGCCTAACAGGAGTCCTATCTCACAGTCCAATAGTGGAGCAATGTGTTCAGTGAGATGTTCCAAATGTGGCCATGACCTTGCAGTGTCTGGAGTAGGAATATGGCTACGATTGACAGGTATAAAATCACGTGTGTAAGCAGCTGGCACAGTGAGTTTCTTTTTGGAAAACAATCCTCTTATTTGCAGAGCTTCAAGTTTTGTACATGCTACAGTTGTTTTCTTGGATGACATTGTAGATAATTTGAGATTAACCTGGGTTTTAGCTGTGTCCAGGTTGTTTGCTACTTCATTAAGAATAAAAGACGAATCACTCTGTGTGTCCAGCAGAGCATAGGTAAGTATTTCTTTGTGTGGCTCATTTTGTGTGGATACATAGACAGGTACTATTGCAGATGTCTGTGTGTTTCTACTTTCATGAGTCACTCTGTTAGATGTACTTTCATTAACTTTCGTTGTTTCTTGTGATTGTGTTACCTGTTCCTGGGTTTCCTTCCCTTCAGCTACTTCTTGTTCTTTAGGTTGTTCTTTCTTTGTCTCGTGTCTTTGTCTTTCTTCGTGCAGACATGTGGGATGTTGTTTTGAGCATGTGTTGCATGTCATCCGATTGCTGCAGTTCTTGGAGAAGTGACCACTGTTTAAACAGCCAAAACATAGTTTTTCACCTTGAATGAACTTGACTCTCTCAGTGACTGGTTTCTCAGTGAACTTACGACATTTGTGTAAGCTGTGTCCTGCTCTTTTACAAAATACACAAGAGATCATGCTTCTTTCTCTGGAGTTAGTTGTGAAGATGTTCGCTGTATTTTGCTTCTTATGAATGGGTGTAAGTAGAGACTTGGTCTTTGGTTTGTCAAAGTCACTTTGTCTTATAGCTTCATATGATGTAATGGGATTACATGCAATACTTGCCTCCATTGACAGGAATGTTACAAAGTAACTGAAACGTGGGAACTGTCTGTGCTCTAACTGATACTCTGTAGCCTTTCGGTTCCATCTGTTGCTTAACCAGTCTGGCAGTTTAGCAGCAAGTCTTTGATTCTCTATTGCATCATTGAGGATGTTCAGGTTCTCATTGGTAATCATTGCAGATTGACAGCTTTGTAAGAAATCCACAAACTTTCTTAACTCTGCACTGTTTTTACCTTGGAGCTTTGGCCATGTGTGCAACTTGTCCCTAAAGGCTTTTGCAATAACAAAAGGCTCTCCATAACGATCATTGAGCATATTCCATGCTGCCTTATAAGAATCTTCAGAGCCAATCAGAAAATAGCCTTCTAAGGCTTCTTTAACACTCCCATCTACATACTTCTGTAAGAAAAATATCTTTTCTGCAATGGGAATATTCTTTCTCTCTATTAGAGTCTGAAAAGATGCCTTCCAATGTTTAAACTTAAGTGGATCCCCACTAAATATTGAAGGCTCTGGAATTGGTAGCCTGTTAGCTGACATAGCTTCTGCCAAAACTTTTACAAGCTCACCTGTGCTCTCGTGAACGACATTTAACTGTGGTGGTTGATTGGCAGTGTTCTTCATCTCAGTTACCTGTATGTTTGCAGTATTCGGAGTGATTCTTTCTTGCTTTACTAAAAAGTAGTCTTCTTCATAAACTTGTAATTTTGCCTTTGCTGCATTGAGTCCTTTCAGATTTTCCAGTCTTTCAAGTTCTCTTTTTAAGTCCTCAACTGATCTTTTCCTTGCAGCACTTTCTTCTTGTTGTCTCTTTATCACAGCCGCCTTCTCCTTTTCTCTTTTTAACTTGCGTTCTGTTTCCTCTCTTTCCTCTTGATGGCGTTGTGACATCGCAGCAACTTCTTGTTCTGCAGTTCTGAGTTTGTCTTCTTCTTCTATGGTTTGGATTTTTTCTCTAAATTTCTCTTGTTCAGCCATTATCTTAAGCACAGCCTTTGTGGCTTCATACTCTGCTACAGCTTCTTGTCTTTTGGCGGAGGAGCCATTAGAGATAACTGAACTGGGTTTAAAATGACTATGAACTGAGACACTACTTGAGCTAGAAGATGTAAATATAGAACTGGCATCAGGCCAAACAATCTCCTCCTTATTTGTTCCCTCAACATGGCACTGGATGTTTTGCAAAACTAACTTAGTCACTGATGTACATTTGTCTAATTTGGAACGCATATCATGAGGTGGTCCATCTATTGCTCTGTATTGATCATAAATATCATTAAGAGCGGCTAGTTCTCTTTGCACAATGTCCATGTGACCTTCAAGAATGTCAAATGGATCTCCTCTGATAACAGATTTTTTAGCAACTTTAATTAATGCTTTCCATCTGTCATAGGTACTTTCAAAGTGACGCTGCAGCCCCTTTAGTTTTTCTTTATGAAATTCTTTTCCTTTTTCCGTTAACATGCGAGATCTTTCACTTCTACATAGCTCTTCTTGCCCAGGTTGCTCTAAAGAGGTTCCATCTACTTGCTCTGCTTCAGCAGCTTGTTCTGCACTGGCAACTTCTATTTCTGTTTCATTTGTTTCCAACATTTTACTTTACTTGAAATCTTATGGACTTCTTAATTGGTCAAAATTTCCTTTTAATTTAACTTAAATTAACTCTGAGCTTCGTTGCATTACTTCCCTTCTCATTACTTTGTTGCGCTCTTGTTGTCAGGCTTCACACGGTTTTGTTGTTACTCCTTCCTTGTGTCACTTTCCAAACATGAACTTAAATGTCTGGCTTCTGGACGTCTTTATGAAGAAGCAACCGTTGAACGTGTGTCCGTTAACATTTGCAACTGACCGATCTTGATGCCCGTTAATATTGTCAACTGTCCAATCTTCGTGCCCGTTAACATTTGCAACTGACCGGTCATCGATGCGACGATGGGAAAATCGTGCAGCTCCGAGTTCGACTATCACTTCCACCTCTTCTTCTTTTATGGCAATTAAGAGTTCGTCGCACTGCTGGTGTGAAGTCAGCTTTAATGAAACTCTTTAAAGACGTTCTTATTACAGCTTCAGTTTCCCTGACACCAACACCACCGTCGAACTAAAACACAACGTAAACTTAGTGAGATGGTGTCAAGAATACAATATCGATATAAAAATAACGTAAAACATATAAACATACCTCGCTGGCTAACCCTTTCTTTTGAGGTAGAAATGAGGTCATTCAGTAAATTCTTACACTTAAATCATGTTTCTTCATCTGCTTGCCAACGCGATGCTGTTATATCGCAAGCGTCTCTGGTAACCTGGTAACCAGACGCTTCTACATCTACTTCCTACCTTAAACCTTCAAAATAAGAGTCTTAACAAAAAACTATAAATAATACAAAATAAAATCTGTAAATTAAAACTTTGGCAGTAAAAGTAATAATCATCAGTAAAATATTAAATGTAATAATCATCAGTAAAATATTAAATGTAATAATCATCAGTAAAATATTAAATGTAATAATCATCAGTAAAATATTAAATGTAATAATCATCAGTAAAATATTAAATGTAATAATCATCAGTAAAATATTAAATGTAATAATCATCAGTAAAATATTAAATGTAATAATCATCAGTAAAATATTAAATGTAATAATCATCAGTAAAATATTAAATGTAATAATCATCAGTAAAATATTAAATGTAATAATCATCAGTAAAATATTAAATGTAATAATCATCAGTAAAATATTAAATGTAATAATCATCAGTAAAATATTAAATGTAATAATCTTCTCTCACCAAAGGCAGCCAGGATCCAGATTAGTCTCTCCATCTTCTGTTCCTTCTGTTCGTCTGCAGCTGATTTTATTTTAACCAGATAAAATTAGTTTGAAATGTAAACAAACTTATGCAAAGTAATGTTGCCGTGGCAACATTTGGGCTGTCATACAGAGGAAATTGATGCCATTATTTTACTGCTGAATCCTCTGCAGCCATTAATTGTAAAAACAAACTAATTCAGACAAGTTTCTGTTCCAACTCCAGGTTTGAAAAACTAAAATAAAGCGTCAGAAAGCTGAAGGGATTGGAGACATTTTGGATAAACTAAAACAAAATAGATGTTTTTACTGATTAATGTTTATGATTCTCAAAAAACTTGTTTTGAATATCTGAACATGAAAGAATTTGCATCACTGATATTCAAAGTTTTTCCCATTAAAGTCTCTTCAGATCATGCAAATTTCAGAGGAAAATGACTCAGTGAGAAATGAACAGCTTGATTTTTATTTGTGCTTCTTTTTATAGTAACAAATCGATGTAAAGATAAAATATGTGCAGTTCAGAGAAAGCAGCAGACCAGAGGAGCGGTGACAGTTCATCTTTATGTTAGTGCGTCTTTATTAGAGTTAAAGATCCAGGAAGGTTTGGATTTAAGTATTAAATATTTTACATGATCAGGAAACGACAAACTGAGAAGCTTTTCTGTGAAAAACCCAACGAAGCATCAGAGTAATCAGATTACATGGGGAACAGCCGCTGCGCTAAAACAGGAGCTGAAAAAACCCTGAAAATCAGCAAAAAACCCAACAAACTGCAAAACAAGACACAACATAACGAAGACCATGATCAGAATGTGGCCCGGCTCGTTAACATCAGCACAAAATGATCAGAACGCCAATAAAACCCAAACAGGAAAGTTCTGTTTGTCCTCCATGTTCTTATCAAACTGCAGAAACCATGAAAACCAAAATTTGTTTCATATTTTCACAAAGCTGCCATCATGCAGATGTAACGGCTGCAAAATCAGGAGAAACTCTGAATTTAAAAGATCTGCAGTTTGAAAAGAGCAAACAGTGAAGTCGCTCCACAGACGTGATGTCACTTCCTCTGGCTAGGCGGTGCCTCCCCAGCTGAAGGAGCTTTAACTTTCTGACCAGATGAAAGTTTAAATCTGCTGTGAAGTGAAATCTGAAGTTTCTTCAGGTTTTGTTCTTGGCGCCGTTGATGAATAGTTTGGTAGCAAAGCAGCCGGGAATCGAACCGCCACCTCTGCAGCGGCTGTAGTTAATGTTTCCCATATATTCAAATGAAATGGCAGCTTTGCATGAAGGTCAGGACCGTATCGGGCCTGTTGGCTGTTGATGTGCGTCAGACTGAAGGAGGAAGATGGAAGCCGTTCTGCTCCTCATCGTCGCTGCTGCAGTTCATTTCTGTGATCATATTTCTGATCATAACGTTGTTTTAGAAACGTTTAGCGGCGCCGCAGGCTGGCTTTGAACTGTTATTGATGTTTTCTGATGCTAACAGCTCATCAGTTTCATCTGCAGCCATTAAACTGTTAAATTGAAGCTAATAACAATAATATTAATAATAATCTTCATGTTTAGTCTTCAGTTCTGTTCCTGGATGGAAATATTATTTTGTTTCTGAGCTGAAGGATTGGGCTGCAGCTCAGAGTTTCTGCAGAGAAAAGTTTTCAGACCTGGCATCGATCCAGAGCGCGGCGGACGTGAAGGCGCTGACGGAGCTGCTGGACTGGAGGGAACTGGGAGAACTGGGAGAACTGGGAGAGCATTCTGTAAGTTCCTGATCTCTGTGGTAGAGCGGTGGCCATGGATCCACCAAACTGGTCTCCAGAACATTCAACTTTCCATGAATGAATTCAGTTGTGACTTTAGTGAACTGAACAGTGAACCAGTTCCTTGTAAGACTGAATCATAAGAGTGAGGCGTTGAGGTGTGAGTCGTGTTTTCAGGCCTGAGTTCAGGAAGTGCTCTCTCCTCTCCAGACTCCCTGGATCGGTTTGTACGACGACGTGAACAGCTGGCGCTGGTCCGTGTCCGACTCTGACTTCTACCGACCAGCCGAGGAGAAGTTCAGGAACTGGGCGTCCGGAGAACCAAACAATAACTATGGCAGAGAGAAGATGCGTGGAGACGGACGCTGGAATGACGAATTTTGTTATCGAACTCGAAGTTTCATCTGCTTGGACGTCAAAGGTCAGCATTTTATTTTCTCCAAAATGATTGGATGTTGCAGTTTTCGATGTTTGTTAAATTTTATAATTTTGGTAAATGTTGATGCTCATTTTTGTGACAATTGAAGGTTTAATTTGTGTTTTAGGGACAAACGTGACGTTTGTTCAGGTCATCGTCAACATGACCTGGATGGAGGCTCAGAGGTACTGCAGGGGGCGCCACACCGACCTGGCAGCGTCAGGAACCTGGCAGAGAACCGGCAGCTGCAGGTCCTGGTGCCGACCGGACAACGGGTCTGGATCGGCCTGTCCAGAGAGTCCTGGAAATGGTCAGATGGAACCGGCTTGGCTTTTAGCTTCTGGATGTCTGGAGAACCCAATGAGACCCGGCAGAACTGCGCCGCGGCGAAAATGAAAAATTCTGGAAAATGGCAAAACTTTCACTGCGCAGAAAAGAAATCATCAGTTTGCTCTGCAGGTACAAAACGGTTCTGTTTCGTTTGGTTGGGTCTGTTTTGGTTCTGTTTAGGTTTGGTACTTTAGTTTTGGTTTTGTGAGAAGAGCAGCCCTCTTCTGCAGTGCATCATGCTAGTGTTTGTGCCGTTTAGTCTTTGCTCTGATCCAGATTTATAACCTGCAGCCATCTTGTTTTCAGACAGAGGCTTTTTTCTTCAGACACGATAAACTTTTCCAAGCCACAATAAATGCTTTCATATAGTCAAAATAAATGTAATCCTTTTTTTCATAGACCCATCTTTGAAGCAAGTGAAGCTGAAGGTGGTGAGAAGTTCCTCTGTGGACCTGAACGACCCGGACCTGCTGGAAAACCTGCTGACGAAGGCAAATCATGTCTTTTATCTTGACCTCCTGTTTTATTTTGGTAGATCCTGTGTCATGGTTCACTTCCTGTGCTTAGTTCATTGTTTTCTTTGCAGCTCAGATCAGTTTTTTGTCTTTATTTACCGATAAATGGACTCCTGGGTGGACAGTGGCGCAGTACCTGAAACGACCAGATGGTGGCGGTGTGAAAACCGGGTTTGTTTTTGTTTCAGATGAAGCAGAAGCTGAAGCAGCAGGGGGTGAGTGGAGACGTCAGGCTGAGCTGGAGGAAGCAGAAAGATGGAAACATCTTCCTGAAACGCGGAGAGAAGAAGAACGATGAGCTTTAGGAGGAGTTGATGCGCCACAGGAAGCAGCTTTAGAGACAAACATGTTGTTGTTGTTATTCATCTGTATAAATGTAGCAGGAGGTTCTGCTCAGTAAAATCAGGGAGTTTTGGACAGAGTGAGATCTGGGATGAAGGTCCTGATGGAAACCAGTTTCATCTGATAGACTCAAACTGACTGTAACCTGGCAGCTTTTTGGCCTTGATTTACTATTATGACATAATATTTAGTTTGGAACTCTCATCTATAAATATGTGATAAAATATGATTTAAGTGATTTTTTTCTCACTAAAATGTAGGTGAGAGAAAAAACTAAAATGTTTCTGTTAATTGCTGTAAGTATTAAATAAATATTAAAATTGCTGAATGAGACAGTGATAGAGTCTGGCTGTCAGAAATCTTGATTTGTACCAGTTTTAGATCCTTTATCTAAATGTTTAGTTTTGTGTGAACTGTTGGAACTGTTCTCTGATCAAAGTGAGGACAAACTGCTTCAGGTAGGACATTTACTGCTCATAATTCCTGTGCAGAACCTTAAATGAACATAAACTGTTTATTTAAGGCTTCGTTGCCCCTCGCAATATGGCGGCTTGTTGGCGCATTTCAATAAATGTCAGCGCACATTGATGATGCAGACGCTATTTCCTGCTTCCTGACTACAGCAGTTGTCCTGATCTGGTCGTTGTTGGACCTTCTGTCTCCAGAACCACCTGCCCGTCCGGGACCATGCGCGCTCCCGTCTGCGCGGCGCTGCTGCTGCTGTGCGCGCTGAGCGACGCGGCGGCTCGTCAGTTCTCAGAGGAGCAGATGGCGGCTGTCAGGTGAGCAGGACAGGTGTTGGTCCAGAACCAGAGCCTGCGGGTCAGAACCAGAGCGAATTTCCGTCTCCTCTGGTTCTGGTTTTGTTGTCGGATCGGAGCTGCATGGAGCAGCTGCTGCAGCGACGGTCAGGGTCGGAGGTTTGAATCCCAGCTCCTTTCTGCTGGTCTGTTTTCTCTGGTTTCTCCAGCTTCCTCTGCCAGAATGAAACCATCAAACTAGGCTTAAAACCAGGCTAGGCTAAAAACTTCAAGCTAGGCTAAAAACATCAAGCTAGCTTAAAACACCAGGCTAGGCTAAAAACTTCAAGCTAGGCTAAAAACTTCAAGCTAGGCTAAAAACATCAAGCTAGCTTAAAACACCAGGCTAAGCTAAAAACATAAAACTGGGCTAATAACACCAGGCTAGGCTATAGATATAAATAATTTAGTGTAAAAATGTTTAATTGCTAATAAAAATGTTTTTACTAAATAATAATTTATCTTGTAAACCTGCATATTATTTGTCCGTTAGCTTGTGACATGCAGAAATTTCAGTGTTTGTAATTTCATCCTGTTTGATGCGTTCAGCTTCTTTCAGCTGTAGATCTACACCCTGCAGCTTCTGTAATGTTGCTCTACACCCTGCGGTTCTGGAAGCGACCCGGTTCTGATCCGTGTTGACTCTAACCTGCAGGGAGCGCATCAAGTCCATGTTCTACCACGCCTACAACAGCTACCTGAACAACGCCTTCCCCTATGATGAGCTCCGCCCACTCACCTGCGACGGACAAGACACCTGGGGCAGGTGAGGCCACGCCCACAACGCCTGGGTTTCCCTGAAAAGAAAATCTACTCATGATGTTCAGACATTTTGTTATGAACAGATCTGTGGACAGATTGATCTCCCTGAACTGC